AATGGTGGACAATTAGTTAGAGCAACAGGTGCTCTAGGAAAACTAATACAAAAGAAGAAAAATCGGGCACATTAAAATTACCTTCTGGGGAGGTCCGTTTGATATTCAAAAACTGCTCAACAATAGACGAACAAGTGGTGAATGTTGGGGCTCGGAAATGACTTGATATATTTGTGAACAAGCCAAACTTTGTTGGGAAACGAATATATTTGATAAGTTTCATTGTCAACAATGTCAATAAGTTTTTGTGTGAATTGTTTATTTTCAGAATAGGCTTGATCCAATCCGTTGGACCTTTTTCCTTTATAACTAGAGTCAGTTCTACATTGAACTCCTCGAAATTAAAACTTCAACGCACTTGTTTATTTTAAGGGTCCGTTTGATTGCAAATATAAAAAATTGGTGGAAAAAAAATGTTTTACAGAGAATTGATTTGCCTAAAAATTGTTTTACTGGGAATTGTAATTAATTGTGTTTGATTGGTATAATTTTTCATGAAAAATGTTAAAAGTGTGGTGTCCGTTTGACTTCGTTTTTTATGAAAATTGTTCATTAAAGTGATAATGTTTTCTAACATTGGGTTTAAAATTTGTTCCAATTGAAAAAAAAAAAAATAACCATACCGAATACTATTCGTTTGTCCTTGTTTTGCATGGAAATTGTCGATAAAAGTGAAAAATTTTTTTACTATTATGTCTAGAATTTTTTTCAATTGCTAAAAAAAAAAAAAAAAGGAAAGTTGGAAAATCAAAAACCAACCCACCCAAAAGAAAACAATTTCCTTGAAATCATGGAAAAGGGAAGCGTGAGCCATCATGGTGAAAAATGAATTGCTAGGAAAATTTGTGCCATCAAACAATGAAAAATGTGGAAAAGGGAAAAAAATTTCCATATTCCATGGAAAGCATGGTGCATCAAACGGGCCCGTATATAAGAATAATAACTATTACTTTAATTAAAACATTAACTAAATTTACTCTAATTTAANATGGGTGGAAAGAAAATGTTTTATAGGGAAAAGATTTGCCTAAAAAATGTTTTACAGGGAAAATGATTTCAAGTGTGTTTGATTGGTATAATTTTCCACCCGAAAAATTTTTAAATTTTCTATTCGTTTGGCTTTGTTTTACATGGAAAGTGTTTGTTAAAGTGATAATTTTTTCCACAATTGGTTATAAAATTTGTTTCCATTGCCAAAAAATAAAAATAAAAAAAAAAGGAAAAAAAATTGTTTCCTAAAAAATCATGTTTTTAATCAAAATTTAGTGTTCGTTTGACTTAGTTTTACATGAAAATTATCCATTAAAGTGAAAAAAAATGTTACCGTTGGTTATAACATTTGTTTCCATTGCCAAAAAAAATAAAAAAGATTTTTTTTCAGCCAGCCTGGGAAATTTTTTTTCATCAAAAAACCGGAAAATGCATACGTGTGGAGGAAAGAAGGAAAATATTTTCCGTGGAAAATTTCACCTATTAAACAGCTAAAAAAGTGAAAAGTGGAAAATATTTTCCTATTTCCCTGAAAAATTTGGCGTATCAAACAGGGCGTAACCTCTACTCAAGAGCTACCAGGTTATAAGCATCACATCTCGTCTAAAAGAAGTTTGCTGCTAAGGAAAAGTACAACACATCTATCGATACATATTCCAAATGTGTCAATTTGAAATTATACCAAGTCATTCATTGCAATAAAGATCTTATACAGAACCATGTACCAGAGTCAAACAACTCATTTCTTAATCATCAACATGAGTATGCATAATTTAATTGACTTCCCTATCTTAACATGCATATAGTTGTATAATTTTTCTTATTTGCTAAAATTCGAAATTATACAGCTGAAAACTAGACAAACAAAATCTCACATGAAATTCCATCCAAACTTTAGATTAGGAGTTTTAAAGGGAACACGCAGAAACGATCTTCGGCTGATGAGTACCTCAGAATGAGCTATTTTCTTGCATACTTCTTTGCTGATGCATCGTTTGTAACCCTTTGTCTCTTTTGCTCATTCACCTTAATAGAGCGGGGTGTTTCTTTGTAAGCATTCCTCTTTCGGTACTTCAAATCTTTTGCACCGAGTGTGTACTTGTTTTGAGGATCTGGAATACTAAATTCAGCAGGGTTTTGGTTCAGAGTGCAAAGAACCATTTCCGACTTGCTTCTCACTGGCCAAGCGGAAAGTTTATTGGGGGCCTCCAAATTCATGGTGCCTGAAGGACCTTCATGTCTATAAGATTTCTGAGAAAAACCCGTAGGACTTGAGGTACCAAGGATGGTTTTTTGCTTATCTGTACCAAAACAAGAATCTCGAATAACATGTGAAGCACCTCTCGAGAACTCAGATTTCTGTGGTCTTCCTGAGATTTCTTGCTCCAGAAATTTAGAGGACATTTGATCTACAAAACCCGTTAGCCTTTTCAGAAATATTTCAGTGAAGTAGAGCAGAAATCATTTAAAGATAAATGTCATTTGTTATGTTATATCCAACTTTAAACATCTGTTTCGTACTCTAATTAGTTTAGTGATCTCATTAGTTATGTCCGTAGATATATGGAAGGGTCCAAACTATTGTATAAATACACTGATTCTGATTAATAATATTTTTTCCATTCTCACTACAAATCTTCATCTCTGTCTACTTTTCCAACGAAGTAAATCAACAGTAAGCAAGAATACATGATATTTTTAAAAAGTTAGGCTCTTACAGTTTAAGGAAGATGCAGGCTTCTTCGAGCTTTCACCAGCACTACGAACACCAGACTGCAGCCAAATAAGATCCTTAGGATGATGTTGCTGTGAAAAGAGTGATCTATTGAGTAAATTCTCTTCCCCATTGAACCTGGAGTGGTGATTGCAGGGAGAAAAGGGTTTATTTACGTATTCTTTTGCACCCACATTGAAAGTATTGGATATCATTCCCCGATCCATCAAAGACAGCAATTGCATTGCTGTAATTGTGTCATTTGAGTAAGGATCTAACGATCCGATGGATTTCCGACCTGGCTCAATTATCCCCTGTTCAAGTAACAATGTGTCACATAAAGCTAGATTTTCCATATCACCACCCTTTATGTCACTAACAGTCTTTCCTTTATGGTGCTGGTCTGAGAATGAAGGTATGTTTTCCCTCCTAGGAGCCCACATTGTCTTTGTTCCTTCGCCGAGTATTGGTCCCATTATGTTGAAGCCTGAAGCTGAAAGCTGCATTTTACTTGGTTGACTCTGTGAAAATGAGCTGAAGAATCTTGATTGGTTTTCCTGTGGTTTCCCCACGTTGAACTGATTTGTGTTCAAGTGAGGGAAGCTTATAGGATTGTTTTGGATAGTTCCAACATTATCATTTGCCAAAACTATGTCATTACTTCTTGTGCTCCCAAGCGAAAAGTTGGTCGTGCTAGGACATTTGATGCCGTAAATAGAAGGAGACCCTATAACGGGTTTATTGGTCTCCTTGGGTAGGATGTACTTCTTTGAACTACCAAGAGCCCTTTCATGTTGGTTTTTAGCCATCAGCTCAACTATGTCCATCGGGATGTCATCTGATGCTCTAAGTTCAATACTCTTATCAGTTTCTTGGTCAGTTTGTGGAGCAGAAACTCTTGGACACTCTTGCCCTTCTCCAGCATTCCCTTTGCTGTAGGAGGAAGAGATATCCTGGAAAAAAGTTTTGTACTTAGGATTCTAGCTTGCACTATTTCAAGTAAACAAATAAGTTTTGATTCCCTGACATATGAAGGAAATTTGTAATGAAGAAAGTTCATATAAATCAAGCATGAAACTGGTATAGGGATCAGAAGAATATGTGATATCTTGAATTTACTTTCAAGTGGAATCCTCGTAGTGCAGCCAAATATATTGTAATTCCTAACTGATGAATTATTGATAAGTCCTCAATGAAATGGTCTTCAAAGTTTACACTTGTTTCATACATCAGTTTAACGTGCCAAAGACATACAGCTATCAACTGTATCACTAAAACAATCAGCAATACCAGGATTTGGTTCCCAGCATCCCCCACCCCCAACCTCTCTTCTGCTTCTTTCCAGGCAAAATTAAAAAGTTAAAACACAAACCAGCAACTAAGTATTTTGAGAAGAGTACGTTAAAGAGAAATTTGCTTACCAAATTCTTGTGCAGAGGTAAACCACCATTATCAAGTAGAGTTGAAAATTGCTGCTCTCCCTGCATAGCAGTTTTATGAGTAATTATCTCGTTCAGATCCCACAGAAATTCTTTCCTCTGAGGACCCTTATTATGAATGCCCTTTTGTTGCACCATTAATGACCTAGCATTGTCATTTCTTTCTGCACTCATAAAGCTGTTGAGAGAAAGATCCAATGCCACTTTCTCTTTAACTAAGCATTCTCCTAACTTGCTGTTTTTGGGAACCATCTGACCAGCTTCAACTTCAAACCTCTTATTCTTGGACAAGTTAGAGTTCAACACAGTTTGTTGTGTAGACTGGAAACTTCTAAAAAATGGTTCCATTTGTCCCGATGGGGTAGGAACATTGTATTTCGGCAAATTAGTAGAGACTACAGAAGTTATCTTTGGCACCTCTAGCTCAGGAACTGGGAGAGACAACCCCTCGTCTACAGGGATCTGACTTTTCTCTTTACTGAGAACAAGATCTTTGCTTTTGCCCGGCTTGATCTTTCGAATTTTCCCGCCAATCTTCGAATCTACTCGTGTAGATGCACCTCCTTCCGATTGTGAGTCAGAAATTTCAACAGAGTTATTCTCTGAATGTACTTTAGAGGCCCTGAACTTTTTAGCTGAACTACTTGGACAGCTCATTTCTGAGGGTCTTTTGCTTTCTTCTCGAGTAATCTTTCTTTTCCTCTGAGCGCTTCTGATAC